GAGAAAATTATTTTTAAAAAGAAGTCCTCAGTCTAGGGTTGCCAGATAAAATGCAGGACTCCCGGTGATGTGGGCATTTCAGATAAATGACGCATTTTACTTCCAGTGTAAGTATGTCCCATTCAGCATTTGGGAATTATACTAAAAATGATCTGTTGTTTATCTGAAATTCAGGTCTCACGGGGCGTCCTGTATTTGTAGGAGGAAATCTGGCAACCCCAGCTGGGGCCCAGCCTGAACACCCGCACAGGGAGTCATGGGCCACCCACCCAGGGAGATTGTTCACGCACAGCGCCGGGGGCCGTGCCAGGTACGCCACAGAGATGCGGGGGCCCTGTCAGCTGTTGTTTACGAAGCTTGTGGTTCCCGGAGCACCAGGCGCTTGGGCAGGGCTTTAGCGCATTAACTCGCTGACTTAACTCACAACGGCCCTAGGAAGTGGGCCTCTGTATCATTCCCATTTCGCAGATGAGGAAACTGAGACCGCTGGGGTGGGAGTGCGGGGAAGGCCACTTACCCACTCACAGCTCCTCACCCGGACACCTCCCGCTACCTCACCAAGCCAGAGCAACCGCTGCCCCACCTCCCCGCCTGAATCCCAGAGGCCAAGAGGGAGGTGGGAGCAGGCTGGGGGTGGGCCTGCCCGGAGGTCTCTGACCCCTGCCCCAGCTCCAAGGTCATCTAGACTGTTTGCTGTTTGCTTCTTGCAATGTTTGCCCACCTCGGGCCAGGAACAGGCTGAAGGTCGTTCAGGGTGGACCTCAGAGGCAGCTCAAAAACAACCGCGCAGGAGGGGGCGTGTTGGGGGCAGAGAGGGCGTGAGGAAGGTGTGGGGGTTGTGATTTGCAAGCGGTAGGCAGGCCTGCAGACCCCAGAGTGTGTGTCTGCCCGAAGTTTGAGGCTCTATTCAAAAGCAGTGAGTCCTGGCCCGTGTGGCTCAGTTGGTTGGTGTGTTGTCCCCATATACCCATACACCAAAAGGTTGCAGGTTCTATCCTCTGTCAGGGTATGTGTGGGAGGCAACAGATTGATATTTCTCTCCCACATCTCTCTCTCTCTCTTTCTCTCTCTCTCTCTTTTCTCTCTCTCTTTTCTCACTCTAAGCATGTCCTTGGGTGAGGATTTTTAAAAAAGAAGAAGAAAAGAAATTGATTGGCTCTAAACTGCTAGAGAAATGGCCAAGTAAAAATTAGTACTTGCCCTAACCGGTTTTGCTCAGTGGATAGAGCATCGGCCTGCGGACTGAAGGGTCCCAGGTTTGATACCGGTCAAGGGCATGTACCTTGGTTGCGGGCACATCCCCAATAGGGGGTGTGCAGAAAGCAGCTGATTGATGTGTCTTTCTCATCGATGTTTCTAACTCTCTATCCCTCTCCCTTCCTCTCTGTAAAAAATCAATAAAATATATTTTTTTAAAAAAAATTAGTACTTGTTCAATCAAAGGGGTACAAAATATACTCTTTTAAAAAAAATTAAATTCTTTATTGTTTAAAGTATTACATATATCTCCTTTTCCCCCCATTGACCTCTCCCCAGCTACCCCCACCCCCCAGCACATGCCCTCACTCTCTACTGTCTGTGTCCATGGGTTAGGTCTATGTGCACGCATACAAGTCCTTTGGTTGATCTCTTACCTACTTGTTCAATCAAAGGGGTACAAAATATACTCTTTTAAAAAAAATTAAATTCTTTATTGTTTAAAGTATTACATATATCTCCTTTTCCCCCCATTGACCTCTCCCCAGCTACCCCCACCCCCCAGCACATGCCCTCACTCTCTACTGTCTGTGTCCATGGGTTAGGTCTATGTGCACGCATACAAGTCCTTTGGTTGATCTCTTACCACCCCTCCCCTCCTCCCCTGCCTTCCCTCTGAGGTTGGACGGTCTGTTCGATGCTTCTCTGGATTTATTTTTGTTCATCAGTTTATGTTGTTCAGAATGTACTCTTAAACCCACTGGCCAACCATAGTGCAATGCCTCATCTGGTTATTATCTAATGAGGGGCGTGGCGGGGTGACTCGGGGAAGAGGAAGGTGGACTGAGGGAGAATGTGGCCCTGGGACCCCCACCTGGGCTGTGGCATCACGCAGTGACTTTAACCGACTGTGTCTCACTCGGCTTCTTCCTCTGTACAGCAGGGTCGGCGAGAGTCTACCTAGAGGGGTTTTGTAAAAATTTAATGCTTAGTGTTTGTTTTGTTTTTCCAGATTTAGCACGTTTGTTTCACCAAATATTATTATTATTTATTTTTTTACATTTTTTATTGATTAAGTTATTACATATGTGTCCTTATCCCCACTCACCAAATATTATGGAGCCCCTGCACTATGCCCTGTCCTGGGGACATGGTGGTGACGAACAGCCTTGGCCCTGTCCTCCGGGGGCTCACAGTCCAATGGGGGAGACGGCCATCACCAGACAGTGACAACCAGACTGGGCAGCGTTGGGATATAGGGGTTTGACTCAGCCAGGGGGTGAAGGAGGACTTCCTGGAGGAGGGGACATCAACCCCGAGACTTGGAGGGTGGAGATGGGGTGGGTCTCTTTCAGGGCCCTAGCCCAGGTCCTACCCTTGCTCTCTTCCAGGTCCCCCTTCATTACCCATGGCAAGTGTAATAAACACCTACTGTGTGCATGGTGACGACCCACCCCAGGTCCTTATCTTGGGCAGCCCACCCGGGAAGAGCTGTATGCCCCAGGCTGGGGTGCCGTCCAGGTCTCCACTTCCTGGCTGTGTGACCTTGCACAAGGAACTTCACCTCTCGGGACTTCAGAGTCCTCCTGGGAGCCATAGGGCCCAGCTCCCAAGGTTCGTGTGCAGATTCTCTTGAGATCACAAAGTCCCAAGTCCTCGGCACAGGGAATGTGCCGTACCTTTCAGTTCTGCTTCTCTTTTTCAAAGGCGCAACCCCTACCCTGCCCCAAAGCCCTGCCCCAGAGGAAAGAAACACTCAGATTTCTCTATAGGATTTTTATTGGTGGTGGTGGTGGGAGGGAATGTGGGGCATAATGGAGGAAGTCCTCCGCACAGGGCCCGGGGTGCGGGAAATGTTAGAGCCCCCTCCAGGGGCGCAGCCACAGAAGAAAGGGGCAGCCCTCCTGGTGTTCAGGAGAATGTACTTTTTATTGACTCCTTTACTTTATCGAATGTTTCCGGAAACCATTTCCTGTAGGGAGAGACAGGGTGGGGTGGGGGATGGAGGAGGGTGGGAGAGGGGGAGTGTCACTGTGTCTTGCCTCTCCTGAGATGCCCAAATCCCGCCAAGGGGTCCCCCGCCCCTGCCCCTGTGGGATGAGGAAGAGCCCTGGGCTGAGTGGCCCAATTTCTGTGCCTCAGTTTCCCAGATGCACCAGAGCTCCTTAAAGTCAGAAAATTTTGTCGTGGCCTGGCTTTCAAGGCCTGCCATCTCTTGATTCTTGTGTGTGTCCTGACCCGGGACCGAACCCCCAACCGTGGCGTACCCGGGGGACGTTCTACCAACTGAGCTACCCAACCAGGGCTAGACCTCAATTTAAAGTGTTATCTCTTCAGAAAAGACCCAGTCACCGAGTCTGCAAAATCCCCTCCCCAGTCCTTGATTGTTTACACACACCCTGTTTATTTCTCAATGCTTGGCTTTGTCTGCGTGGATTCTGGGAATTCACTGGTTTAGTTTGTTCCCCAACCCTCACCCTGCCCCCAGAAGGTCAGATCTCTGTGGGCTGGAACGCTATTATTCCCCCCACTGGACGAGTTCCTGGCACTTAGCAGATGCTCAATAAATATTTGCTCATGAATAAATGATTCTCACCAAAAGGAGCAATCCTGGTTCATCGCTGTGTTGAGCATTTACAATGTGCCAGGCGCTATGCAAGGGTCCCCTCAGAACCATCCATTTTGCAGATGAGGAAACTGAGGCTCATGCCCACACAGGGAGTAGCGAGTCGTTGCCAGCCTATGGGCCCAGATCTGTCCAACCCCCAAGCTTGGATCCTTCACCACCACCCAGCACCATCTCTCCAGTGTGGCTGGATGGGAGAGTCAGGGAGCCTGTCCCCCAAGCCTGAGCGCCCTGAGATCCAGCTGTGTGACCACAGGGATTTTGTCGGTTTTCTCAGTCTGTTAATCCATATCCCCCATCCTTCCCCCCTCCGTCCTCCCACGCCCTGGGAAGGGTCCTAACCAGATGTTAGAATTTTTGACGGTGTCAACGGCTTCCTGGACCTTTGCCACCAGTGCTTTCAGGTCTTCGTTGATGCCTGAGTCGGCCTGGGCCGGAGCTGGGCCTGCCCAGAAGAGAAGCAGGAGCGCAACAACTTCAGTACTGGGAGCCCTTCGGATGAGCTTCCCGGGGTGGAAAAGGTGACCTTGGATGTGGTTCTTGGGGATCATGGTGTTAGGATGGGAGGGGAGGGTCCTGGAGGGCCCAGGTGGTGTTCAAGCTGCGGAGGATCGCCACCTGCTGAGAGGACCCCCGAGAACCCACCTGGCCGGGTGGTAGTGGGGGTGACCAGTGGGCTATAGGGGAACCAGGGCCCAGGAGGGGCCCCCGAGCTCTCGAGGGTCCTCTATGCCTGGATCCCAGGCCCACGGCAGCTTCATGCTCCCCAATCCCGAGCCCCAGATTCTCCCATCCCACCCACTTTTACCTTCCAAAACCATCAACAGAGCCACCGCCAAGACCGAGAGCGACAGGATGAGCTTCATGGCTGGGCCGGAGGGCACTCTGGAGGGAGAGGTGGGGTGGGGTGATCCGTGGCGCCCCTCCCCCTCCCCCGAGGTTCCCCAAAACCTTTTCCTTGTGCTCTTGGTGTGTGGAGGGTCCCTCTGGGGCACCGAGCACCAACCTGGATCAGTTGCTGGACAGCAGGGGTAGCAGGTCGCAGGCTGGCCTGGCCTTTATGGTCCCGGGAGGGGGCGGGGCAGGTTCCCTCCCCCTGCGCCTCCCCTGGTGCCTGCCTCTCTGTGCCAAACACCTTTCCCTCTTACATCCCGGGCTGGTGGGGATGGGCGCCAGGTGGGACACAGGCAAGTGCCTTGGCCCGAAGCCTCCCGCTGCTCATTACCCTTCCCTCCAGATCTCCCTGAGTGTGGGGGCCTCCGCGGGCTTCCTGCCCCTCCCCTCCTGCTTCACAGTCTCCCAGCGTCCGGGGGTCTCTCAGGAACGGTTACTTAGTCACCCCACTCACATGGTGCCCCAGGCCACCTCTCCCATACCCTCCCTCTTCTTAGCCTCTTTAGCTCTAACAACTCTTTTTTTAAAAAATATGTTTTATTGATTTTAGAGAGGAAAGGAGAGGGAGAAAGAGACAGAAACATCAATGGTAAGAGAGAATCACCGATTGGCTGCCTCCTGCACGCCCCCTACTGGGGATCAAACCTGCAACCCAGGCATGTGCCCTTGGCTAGAATCGAACCCGGGACCCTTCAATCCGCAGGCCGATGCTCTATCCATTGAGCCAAACCAGCTAGGGCTCTAACAACTCTTGCTCTATGTCTGTGGGGTCCACCCATGCCCCCTCCATTCACACTAGCCCGGTGGTTCCCAACCTTTTGTTGGCCATGCCCCACCTAAGCATCTCTAAAATCCTGATTGCCACCACCCCCCCGCCCCGTGACATATAATTCTTATTATTCAAAAAGTGAACTCCTATCCACATGGAGGAAGCCTAAAAGTCCAGTAACTTGGTCTAAACAAGCTTCCAAAGAACACGGCATCCATGAAAGAGAAAAATAAAAAAAGTTTCAAAACATACAATAGAGAACTGAAATGCATAAATATGTCACAATACATATTTATATACTGTGTATGAGGCCCCTAGAACCATAAGAAATGCAAAAAATTCACTGTTAATAACTCATTCTCGAATTGCCCCCCTAAATCAAATTGCCCCCGTGTGGGGCGTGTGCCCCACGTTGGGAACCACTGCTCTAGCCCTTCAAGCTTCGCATCTGACATATTTCAGGCCTCCCTGGGGTCTTTTTTTTTTATTATTGATTTCAGAGAGTAAGGGAGAGGGAGAGAGAGAGAGAAACATCAATGATGAGAGAGAATCATGGATTGGCTGCCTCCTGCACGCCCCACACTGGGGATGGAGCCCACAACCCAGGCATGTGCCCTTGACCGGAATCGAACCCAGGACCCTTCAGCCCGCAGGCTGACGCTCTGTCCACTGACCCAAACTGGCTAGGGCCTCCCTGGGGTCTTAACTTCACAGTCCCCAACCCCCCTTTGGGGGCGGGGTCTTTTCAGCCTGTCTAAACCACGCAGCCCCCTCTGCAAGGCTCCCAGGGCCCCCATCATCCCGCCAGGCGCCACGCCCTTGCATTGCCACACCACCCCCAGCCTCCCCGGGGCCCCTGGAAACACTCCACTGCTCTTCTTCAGCCTCACAGGCCCCTCCTGGCACCAAGCCCCGCCGTCTCTCCCCCCTCCTGCCCCCCAGCTCTACATCTGTCCCCCGGGGCTGAAGTCCAGTGCTTCTTCCCTTCTTCTCAGCTGCCTCTGACCGTCAGTGACCCCTGGCAGCTCAGGGGAGGGTGGCCCCGGGCCCCAGACTCTAGGTTGGCTGGCCTTGTGCCCCCACAACCACGTGTCAGCCTGGGGGTGAGGGGGCTGGTTGTGAAAGGGACACAGAGACCGGATCCTGGCAAGATTGCAACACCCCTCCGGCCAGCTCAGCAGCTTCCAGCCTCTGTCAGCCCTGAGCCGAGCTGTCTTCCCGGGCACCTGCTTTCCTCGTGAGCCAGCGTTCCCCAGACACCCACCCAAAGGCCTGCCCCCTCCGTGTCCGACCCCACGAGAGTAGAAAAACTTTGATGTTCAATCTCATCCTCACCTCAACTATAGGGATATTCGGTTACAGGTGGGGAAACGGAGGACCAGCCAAGAACATTCAAAGGCACAGTGAGGGGCAAATGTGGGGGCGCTCGTCTCCCCGCTTCCCGACTGCAGGCTGTCTCTCCAGATCCCTGCTGGGGTCAGCCTCTGCCCACAGTGCCCGCAGCACCCCCTGCCAGCCTTGTTCCCCAAAGCTCCTTCCCAGCCCTTGTCCCACCTCTTTTTTTAAAAAATATGTTTTCATTGATTTTTTTAAAAAATATATTTTTTTATTGATTTCAGAGAGGAAAGGGAGAGATAGAAACATCATTGAGAATCATTGATTGGCTGCCTCCTGCACACCCCCTACTGGGGATTGAGCCCACAACCTAGGCATATGCCGTTGACAGGAATCGAACCCGGGACCCTTCAGTCCACAGGCCGACGCCCTATCCACTGAGCCAAACCAGCTAGGGCGGTTTTTATTGATCTTAGAGAGGAAGGGAGAGGGATAGAGACAGAAACATATTGGCCGCCCCCCACCAGCGATGGAGCCCGCCCTGATCAGGAATTGGTTCACGACCTCTCGGTTCCTGGGTGGACACTCACTGAACCACACCAGCGGGGCTATCCCGCCTCTTAGAACTGCCTGGGGCTGCAGTGAGTCGGGACCCCGCCCTGCTCAGGTGTCTTCATGCATGAGAACTCAGAATTGGTCTCCTCAGATGGGAGACTGATGTGTCCTCCCTCACTGCCATCTGGGGAAACTGAGGCTCTGAGAGGGCTTGGCCCAGCTCCAGGCTTGGCTGGGAGGAGGCCCACTGACCCTTCCCCTCCTCGATCAGCCCTGGGTGAGTGACATGCAGGCCCCCTGCAAACACAAGCTCAAGCCCTGGTCTGGCCCTTGTGGTGGGAGCCCTGCTCTGAGGGTGGACTGGAGAGCACTTGCGGCTCCAACTCAACCTCGGGCCCTGGATTCCAGGGGCTGTGCGGACCCTCCCCGGAGCTCCTCTCCCTTCTCTCTCCAGCAGCGACCCAGCGACCGGGAGGGAAGGAATGAGTGAGGGCTGGGGACAAGCAGCACAGCTCAGAGTGAAGGGGGGAGGGTGTGGGGGAGAAGCTGGCCTGGGCAAGAGAAACTGGAGGTAGGGAGAGGAAAGAGAGAGGCGGGGAAAACAGGAAGCCGGAAAATGAAGGCTCTCAGCACTCAGAGGCCAGGAGGGGCCAGGACGCAGGACCAGATAAGCTGGATGGAGAAAGGGGAGAATGATGAGGGAGTAAAATGGTGTCATCGTGGGTGGTTTCAGGCCTTCTGCGTCCGACAGCGCTATGAAGCGGGTGTGACGAAGCTGGGCCACCCAGGCTCAGAGGCTGCTTCCGCCCCTGGCAGTAACTGCAGGATGTACCCCAGGGGACGGTTTGTTCCAGAACCACGTCTCAGGGACAGAATGGGAAGAGGCAGGAGAGAGGGGGCGGCAGAGACTGAAAGGTGAAAACCCCAGAGAGGGACGGGAGGAAGCAGAGACAGAGGCAAGAGAGGAGACAAAGAGACGGACACTCATTCAAAGGGGACAGGACCGTGTGGGGAAGGAGAAATGGAGGCTGGGGCTGTAAGAAACCACTCAGATGCCCTGCAGCTGCTGAGAAGTTTGCTGAACCTTTATTAAGCCAGGGCCCCCCAGGGGAGCCGTGGGGGCAGGGACAGGGCCCCTGCAGGCTGGGAGAGGGGAGGGGCACGGAGGTGGCCGGAGTGGGGTCCACCAGGCGTGGCCAGCACTCATTGATTCTCGCTGGGCACCGGGGTGGGGCTGGGGCTGGCGCCCAAGGCCGACTGCATCTTCTCCACCAGCCCGGCCCACTGGCGTTGCATGTCTTGCACCAGGGGCACGAACCAGCCCTTGAGGCGGGCCTGGAAGGCCTCCGCCTGCAGGCGCATCTGGTTGGCCTGCTCCTCCATCTTGGCCTGCAGCTCCTCCATCTGGTCGCGCATGTCATCGAGGCGGTCGCGGGCCCGGCTGCCCATCG